AGAAGACAAGAAACAGACTTCTGAGACTGTCTTGAAAACCCCATCTTGCCTCCCCAACATATCTCCACATAAGAGCCCCTCTAGGAGCCACCACCTTCTCCCCATCACGCAATTACCCAGAACCCACTGCCCACTCCAGTCCTGGCAACTCCACCAGCTGCCTCAACCTCCATCCTTTCTTCCCAAGCTGACCCACTCCTTCGTGCAGTGCCAGATCAGAGCTCTCTCCACCACAAAGCCTTCCCTGGGTGCCCTGCCACACAAGCTCCACCTTCTCCAGGGCTCCATGGCACACATCACCGGCACCTTCCACTCTATCCCTCGGTTGGGTGGTGCCCTGTGTGGTTACTTGGCTCTCTGAGGCAGACTCTTTGCCCAAACAACACAGGAGCTCTCTACAGAGAGCAAGTGACTCTCCTCTCTCCAGCCTCTCCTCACTGCCCTCTGCAGGTCTGGGCAGAGCAGCCCCTCCATAGAGATGTTTAATTGGAGGGCTGGTCTGTTTGGGCAGCCCCATGCAGATCGCAGCTCTCTTTTCAGCTATAACCTTGAAGAATCGGCTTCTTCTTGCCCTCCTAGCCCTAAGGCCAGGCCATCACCCAGCTCTCTGGCCATCTACCACCTTCTGCATCCTGCCTTCACAAGCGCGCCTCTTTCCTCAAGGCTGCTACCCCCATCACAGATCATCACGCGCAACTTGGATTGTTTTCTGTTTTCTCGCATGTGGAACTCCTCAGGTCTGGAAGACATTTAACCATCTGCTGCTGTTTGCTGTTCTGGGGCTTTTCACTTGGTATGACTTTGGTCTCTCTAACTAGGCAGCGGGTTCTTCCATTCTTCCTAGGCCTGTCCTTTCTCTGCTGCTTCCAGTGGGAGATTGGAAGGGCTGGATGAATGCAAGAATGACTGAGCAGTGATGCCTCCAAGCCAAGCCAGGCAGCCTTGGGAGGCTAAGCTGCTGTGTGTGTCCTAAACTGCTTGTTCTCATCCTGGGCGCTGAACTCCTTCTCAGAGAGAGTCTGCCTGGGGCCCTGCAGCTCCCCCTCCTTAGGGCCCAGATGAATGAATACAACATTGCCCCCTCAAAATCAGATTAGCCACTGGTGTCTAGAAACTCCATCCTGAACACCTACTGCGTGCCCACAACTGTCGAGAGGGGATGCAGAGGAGGAGGAGGGGCCAGATTATTGGGTTCCTGCCTTCCACCAGTTCACAGTCTAGATGGAGAGAGAAGATGCACAGGCAGGAGGGCCATGGCAGGTCTGAGGGTGCATGGCCATGGCCAGGGCTGCAGAATGCTGTTCAGTGGGTGCCAGAGGGAGGAGAGTACTGGTGGCTCAGCTGGAGGGAATCTGAGCACGAAGAGGAGGAGGAGCAGGGGGAAGCGAGGAGCAGGAGGCAATGGCGAGGCTGCGTAACTACACCACCATAGACCAGATCCCCACACCACGCGGCCATTGACATCCCCAAACAAGAATCAGCAACAGAACGTAAACCCCAAACTCGGAGAGAAAACGAGAAGCAGTATTCCCAGCTCCCACTTCCACGTGCCAGCATTCTCCCTCTCAGTGGATGGAATAATTGTGGCCATGAAGTGGCACTTGGAGAAAAAGTTTTAAATCTGTTTAAATGTCAGTGAGTAATACTTTGCCCCCATCTTTCCTAATTACATTTCTTTTTGATGATCTAAGTTAAAAAAAAAAAAAAAAAAGAACTCAAGTCTTTCTAAAATATCAAGGGCAAGGATACCAAAGAGCCAACCTAGCCACGTTCCTTACTATTTTCTCAGGGGTCCTGCTCCTTTATTACATTAGTTTGAGACACCTGTCTGTGTTATTTTATCCCCAACACTCTGCTGTGGCAGAGAGGTGGGAGCCTAAGAGATCCAGCTCTGTGCCTTTAAGAGATCAATGCCATGGCGGGAGCTGCTTCTGCTGCTGTTTACACAGGGTAGCTCAGTTATATGCGGCCTGGTCTCCAGGCTGCTTCAGCCCCAGCAAGCTGGGGGGAGGGGGGGCATTTCACCACACACCTGCTGGAGGGCTGGGAGGTGAGAAATGTGTTACTCCCTAAGGGAAGACAGCCTAAATCCAAAATAAGGCAAACTCAAGTGGGAGAGAGGGGAGGGTGAGGAAACTTCACCTGAGAAAGGAGATCTCCACAGCTTTGGGTCCACAGTGGAGACACACAGGGAGGCGCCATGGTGCGGGCGGCAGAGGCGCAGTCCTGGAGGGACTTGGCGCTGTATCAACAGAGGAGTTTTCGAAGGCATCTAAAATAACTAGATGCCCCCTTTCATTAATAACTCCACTCTCCCAGTCACTCCTGCCCAGGGACTGCTTTTATTTATGTATTGGCTATTATTATTAATAATAATATGAATAATGAAACACCTATGAATAATTTATTTGGACCTGGGTGGGGGTGCTGGGGTGGCAGCAGGAAAAAGTGGAGAGTGAACCTCAGCTCCCCTCCCCTGCATGGGTCCCTCCTTTCCCAGCCCCCTCAGCTTACTCCCTTTACTTCCCCTTGATCTTAGTTTGTTTGAGGGGCTGGGGGGCAGGGAGAAAGAGACCTCAAGTAGCAACTACTCTCCTAAACTCCCCTATTATGGCAGAAAATATATTCCACTCCATTGTGAGATCCTGGGAGGTGAGTGCCAGCGCCACGAGATGATGTTCCAGGAGATATTTTGGACAAAGTTATTGGCCTCTGCTGATGTGTCGAGGGAAACCGGAGGAAGGAAGAGGTCTCAGCCTGGTGGGTAAACACACACACACACACACACACGCAGAGGCAGAGTGTGGAGACAAACAGGGTCTATGTACACATCCACGCTGCGTCCACACAAGCAACCACAGTCCTGACAAGACATATGCACATATGCACACCTCCTAGTCACCGGCTCAAACCCTCCATGTACCTACCAGGGACATGCCGCCTCATTACAGCACTTCCCAGGCACACCAAGCACACAGCCACATGGCAGAGAGGCTCTATGTGTGAGTTTCTGTTCGATTCCATCAACTTGGGCGACTCTTAGACCATCAAGTAACACTGCATAATGTAATCCCGGGAACCGAGTTATGAATCAACTATACTCACACACGATTCCATCAAGCAAAGGCAGGAGAATCTTAAAAAGAAAGGATGAAGTTCCACAGTTCTCAGAATTGTACTTGCTGTTTGGTTTGGGCCCTGGATCCTCAGGGAGAGGTGTCCTGGGTGGGCTTGGGGCCTGGGGCTGCGAACCTCGGGCCTCCTCCCGGCGCTGGAGAGCTCCGCGTTGTGGTTGTACCAAACGGGCTTGGTCTCGGTTTTCAGGCAGCTGGGGTCTCATTTCTTTAGATAAAATTTTAAACATATCGTTTACTAACGTCATGGAATCCGAGGGCAAGAAAGGAGAAACCCAGAACACCCGAAAGGGGCCGGTGGTCGGGCGAGCAGCTCTGAACCCGCGGGGGAGCGGGCGCGTTATTTTAATTTGCGCGGCTTCTGAAGCCGAGGAGAAGAGGCTACCCTGGAAAAGAGAATGTGGGAAAGGTTGGGGTGCAGGTAAACATCATTAAAATCCGCTCTCCCAACCCAAGTTCACCACTAGCGTTCGTCCCCAGAGGCGGGGCTGCTTGGACCCCGCTCCCGCGCCAGCCACTCCCTCTCCTGCGCAGCCGATGTTCTGGCCCCGGCGGGCCTGGTGGGGAACTCCGCGGAGTCTGGGCTGGGCGGCCGGACCCTTGGCTCTCGCCCGCGGACGCGACTCCCAGCCTCGCACTTCTGGAGCGGGAGGAGCTGCAAACGAAGCCCGGGGGAGCAACGTACGCCGCGCGTCCGGGTCTGGCCGCAGCCCGGATAGCGATTCGGGGGCTTTACTTCTTTGATGGTAGATTAAGAAAAAAATTTTTCAATTTGAACCAGTAAAGCAGATGAGGACAAAATCAAGCCAGTCCCTCGCGCTGGCTCACCGGCCACTGCGCCCAGAGCCTGCCGCCTTCCCCGGCGGGAGAGCCGGCCGAGGCGCCCGGCTCCTACCTTCCTCCCGCCAGCCGCCTGCCGGACCAGCCGCCGCGCTTCCGTGCGGGGGAGGCCGTCCGGGACGGAAACACCCACCTCCTGCCTTCGCAGGCGGGTCGGGCCCGGAATCTCTACGCCCCGTCCCCCCAGAGCGGCCCAACTACTCCCCAGTCGCGTCCTCCCAGGTGGCTCGGGAGGCGGTAGACGCCGTGCGGGAGGGCGAAGGTTTGGGGCTGCTCTGGCAGGTTGGGGATGCGAGGAGGAAAAAAGCAGACAGAGACGGAGAGACAGAGAGAGCGCGCGCGAGAGAGCTCTTGTCTATAGATTCATCCACATAATATATATTTATGTAGCTTTTTTTCTCTCCACACTGATCAATGCGCACTCGGATCGCTGGGCGGACTCCCTCCACACCAGCTCGCTTTTTCTAGCCTAAATAAATAAATAAAGGGAACCAGAAGGGAGAAAAAAGCGCCCATTCCACCTCCGCCGCCGCCCCGCCCGCCATCCCTGCCTTTGCTTCGCCCGCCTGGCCCCCTAATAGAGCGCAGCTCGATGGAAACCCCCCCTCTACATACCCACGCGAAAATGAAAATCAATGTTTTTGAAATACAAAAAGTTGCACCTGCTGCTATTACAAAAAGAACCCCCAAAAGGCAAAGAGGACGCCAGGAACCCGGTTCCCAACAAGCACCCGCTCCCCGCGGCCGCCGGGCCCGGAATCTCAGCGCCTCCCAAAGAGCCATGCGCCTGGCGCTATTTATAGCCGGGGGCCGTCTCGGACTGTACCACCGCCTCTCGCCGGGGCCGCCGACGGGGGAGGCTCGGCGGGGCCGGCGCCGCCCCACGCCGCCCTGGTCCGGGCCGCCGCCCGCTGCCGCGCGGGAGCCCCCCCAGCTCGCCCTCTCCTGGCCTCGAGCCCCCCTCCCCCGCGCGCGCACACTCGCCTCCCCCACCCCTGGTCTGACTGGGAACTTGAACCGGTCCAGCCTGTTTAAACGGAAAGGACAGAGATCCTGTCTGTTCAATGTAAAAAAAAAAAAAAAAAAAAAATCAGATCAGACCGAAAGAGAGAGAGGGAGAAAGAGAGAGAGAGAGAGAGAGGAAAGAGGGAGGGAGGGGGGGAGAGAGGAGAGAGAGAGCGCGAGCGCGAGCGAGCGAGAGAAGAGAAGAGAAAGAGAGAGAGCAGAGAGCGAGAGGAGAGCGAGGTGTAGAGAAACCGAGGGGGAGAGAACCCGAGTGTGTGTATGCGTGTGCGTGTGTGAGCGCGAGCGAGCTTGCGAGGGAGAGGAGCGAGAGTGCGAGCGAGAAAGAATAAAAGGAAAGAAGATTTTCTCTATGTATATAAAGATGGCCACGTTAGCAAACGGACAGGCTGACAACGCGAGCCTCAGTACCAACGGGCTCGGCAGCAGCCCGGGCAGCGGCGGGCACATGAACGGATTAAGCCACAGCCCGGGGAACCCGTCGACCATTCCCATGAAGGACCACGATGCCATCAAGCTGTTCATTGGGCAGATCCCCCGCAACCTGGATGAGAAGGACCTCAAGCCCCTCTTCGAGGAGTTCGGCAAGATCTACGAGCTTACCGTTCTGAAGGACAGGTTCACAGGCATGCACAAAGGTGAGTGCACCTTTCCCTCCCAACTTTGCCGGGGAGAAGGAGCCGGCGGGCGGGCCGGCGGGCCGGCGACCGACGAGCGGGAGACGGCGCGAGAGGGAGCCTCGGGCGGCAGCCGGGGAGGGAGGCGCTCGGGCAGCAGAGACCAGGACTGGGGTGCGTGGGGAGCTGTTCGCTGGGGCAAGGCTGGGTTTGGGGCGAGGAGCTGATAGAAGCGGTGCCGTGGAGAAACTAGCGGGAGCAGAAGATGAAGAGAAAGAGAGAGAGGATCTAGGGGGAACGGGGCTTGGATTTTTGGGTAGAGCGACTTGAAAGATTGGGATGGGGACAGCTGCACCAGCTGAGCCTGGGACGCTGGGCAGACTGGCGGGCGCTGAGAGGGCCGGGGACGAAGGTGCTGTCCATCGCCGTGGTGCTGAAAATACTAACTGGAGATGGTCTCCTCCTTCTCCGCTCCGGGCCAGAGTAGCAGGAGTGCAGCCGTCTAAAAAGGAGAGAGGTGGCAAATTCAAAGAGATATTTTTATTTCGCTATCAATTTAACAGTAAACTCTCCCTGTCATGCTGTGTGCCTCAATAATCCAGTTGTGGTGTGAGTGGTGGGGGAGGGGGGGTTGGATGTTTGAAGGAAGGAGGAACAAAACCTAAGGCAAGAATTAGCAAGGAACCAGCCATCCCCTGGGTGGAGCGGGGGGGTCAGGCAAGCCTGGATGATCCCCTTCTCAGGAAAGCGGGGCTTTGGGAAAAAAATCTGTGTGTGCAAGACATGCATTTTGAAGGATGTAGCCTAAATTATCCCAAACTCACCATGCAGGGAGGTTTATAGTACATTATTTCTCTCCCTTCGAGCAGTCATTGCTAGTGAGTGCTTGGGGGAGGGGGCGACAGAATAATCAAAGAATTAAAACCGAACAACTTTTTAGGAAAGTGGTCATGGGAATTGTCTGCAACCTGCCTGTTTTCTCCTTGTTTTATTATCTTTAAGGCAGAGCCCCAAACGTGTTCAGTTGTAGAACGTGTGTGGGTGGCTGGTGGGTGACGAAATTAGCCCAGTGCTCCGCTCTCTAACAGTAATGTATAGGATGTGCAGTGGGGATTATTCGGGGCTGGAGCTGTGTGGGCAAGTTAAATGCTTTCTGAGAGAGATTGATCATCAGGCAGGGAAGGAGCACCGGGCTAAGGAAGTTGTAAGGATGTGTATGGACGTTCCGTTTTTAATAAACAGTAGTGTGGAGAGCCACTGAAGATGCTGTGTTAGAGCTAGTGGTTTTAAAGATGAAAACACACACACGCACACGCACACGCACACCCACCCACACACAGAGAGCAGCCTCATCCTTGGCCACAAATGGGCTATGAACAGAGCTGATCCTCCAGCACATTAGGTGCAGAGCGCGGGGCTGTCTGGCTCTCTAAGCAGCAGTGGTTTTTCACTATCACAATCTCCCTCCTTCTCCAGCCCTCCCTTCATCCGAATACTAAGCAGAGCTCCAAACTCTTCATAGTTGGAGTCCCAGAGAGCAGTTTTTATTGGCTTTAGCATCTTCCAGCTTGCCTGCTGAGGAGTAAATCTTAAAGTTAATGGCATGTTGAGTAGCACAAAAACACAGCAGAATGGAAATATACTGGGTTTGTTGGGGTGGGGTGATGGTGGGGGCTGTAATGGAGAGAGAAACCAACCTTTATCCAATATGGAGAAAATGTCTGTCTGTTCAGAAGACAGACTGGAAAGGTGAAATAGGGAGGAAGGCTTTAAAATAATATTTGTTTCCTTTTTTCCCCCTCCCTCTCAAGACAACCATATCTTTGTAGTTTTTCCCTTTCCAATCAAGCTCCCTGGAAGCTAATCAAGGTTTGTATCAAACCTTTGTCATTCTCATATGTCCTCAGATTTAAAAATAGTAATAGTGAAAATAAAGAAGCATAGGTAGGGAAATCCTTTGCCCATCTTAATGATCAGTTCTTGTGACAATTTAAGGTTTTAAAGTTAAAAAAAACAGAACTCACTAGAGGCAAAAAGACAGTTGTGAAGAGCTGAGCTTCCTATGAGATCTGGGTTGGAGCACTTTATTTGCTTCTTTATTTCAAATGAAGATAAACTTTAGCAATATTGCTTGGTTTCTTCTCACGATCCTTTGCTGGTATCATCGCTCTGTTTCTTATGTTATGTGGGCTCCCGTGTATTATAGCAAAGAAGTAGAATTATCATTATTCGCATCAGGAAGGTAGAGAAGGTTACGGTATAGTTACATCATATGTATCATATCATATATATACATACACATATCTGGCCAGGATTCCTAGGACAAGCAAAACTTTATTTTTTAAATAATTCTTCCCCTAAACTGGCTCAGTCAGTGGCAGGCAGGCCCGTTGGCTCTGGCATGCTGAGTGCCTTGTTGTCACAGCTCACCCTTCGGAGCCTCAGCATATATTTTTCCTTATGAAACTTCCTGTCTCTCCATCCCTCGGATTTTTATAGGCGAGGTTGGGCCACAATGTCCCTAACAGTGCCTGAAAGCTCCCGGAGAGCTGAATAAACAAGACAGTTTCCGAGGTCTGCTTTATTCAGTCCTCGAAGAGTTTGAACTCTTTCAGTGATACAGCCTGATTTATTAGCTAATCTTGATAAAATAAGCCTCTGGCCACCTTAAAAAAATTACTCGCTTGCCATTGGTGATTAATTACCGTTAAGTCGAAAAGCATGATGAGGCTTGAAGAATGAGGACTGCATTTGGCTTCTAGATTTTCCCCAACTCTAAATTGACAACATGAGGCTGGGGATAGAAACATGCCTTTGTTAAGCCTGGTTTCAGGGCATATTTGTGGCTCTTTCTCTCCCCTTCTTGAATTTCTAACTTCTAGTGAATCATACTGGGAAAAAATTGAGAGGCATGACAGGATACTGGCCTCCAGTGTGAATGGCATATGTATGTTATTGGTAAAAACAAAAAAGAAAAAGAAGTAAAAATTACATTAGATGCATGAGATTTCAGGTGGGTATCCATTTGTTGGCCACCTGCCATTTCAGGTAACTAAAGAAGGAAAGGAGTTCTAAGGGTTAACAGAATACCTGCCATGCGTAGAGTGAACCTTAAAAGGCAATTACTCCAATCAAATTGGGAATCTGTGGAGAAGGGAGTGGGTGGGTGTTGTGGAGCAAACCCAGCCGTATCAGGAAAGGCTGTTGGGCTGGGGAGGCAGCAAATAGCAGTTGTGGACTGAGGTAATTACTGTAAAGGTAAATGCACCCCCTGGAGAACAGAAAGCAGTTGGGGGGTGGGGGGAGATCTGGGTGCTAGGCAGAGAGAGACAGGAAGAAATAAAAGCCCAGAATTACAATTCAAAGAAACAACATCCAAAGAAGAAAACCCAGTTTAATACAAACTCTCCCGGCTAACTCGGAGTCTTCTTTTCTACCCCATTCGAAGCACTTTGAGAAAGATTGTTTTTCCAGGCTCCAAAGAGAAAGACATTGTACTATCGATTAAAGAGGAGAGAGGCAAACTCCCGGAGTAGCAGAAGAAGTGAGCTGAGGACCAATTTTGCTCCCTCCTGTAGAATTTTTCTCCCTTGGAGAAGGGAACAGGTCAACTGCTAGTCTAATTCTTCCCTTCTCTCAGTTTTATTTAATTCTCTTTTCCTCTTTTTATTTCCTGGAGAACAAACAGAGGCAGTAACTGAAAATACTTACACACACACCCACATACCCATGCTTCCTAACACACACATATACACAGTTAGTGGATCACACATGAACAAGCCGGCGATCCATTCATAACTTTGGTCTTGTCTTGCAGGATAGGAGGCAGCAAAGACTGAGTTACTGGGAGACATAAAGACTAGTGCTCTCTGGATAGCCATATTATAATGCATTATCTTCAAAGTCATTTAAGTCCAATTTAAGTGGTATTTAGTATAATATTTATGAATTAATGTAATCTAAACATAAGGCTGTCCCCAAAGGTTTAAACAGCCTTACTACTGATGTGTGCTTGTTCCCGGAGCCTGCGATGCATTTTAATCTAAACAGCCAAGTCCACATCCCAGTCCCTCTTGTTAACCAGTCAGAATAGGTCTGTGGCCTGGGTAACCACTCTGCATTGAGATTTTCCCACAATGCATGAAGGAAAATCTACTCTACTGGCAGCCCGGGGGGCTCCAAAACCAAGAGCCGCAGCTGCAGGGTCATCAGCCCCTCAGACTTTCACACTACATCTAGAGGGAGGGTGGGGACTGAGTAAGGGAACCTTCTGTGAATTGAGCTCCAGAGAGTATACCATTTTAAAATATACTCATCACCAGATACATAACCTCTCATTTCAACGGTATCTGAGTAGGAAATGCCTGAAGCTCCTTGATTTGGGGTGCAGCTGGGAGAAAGGGAAGGGGTAAGAGTTGTGATTATGTTTTGGTGATTTGGTGACCATCTTCGTAAAATTATGTCTTGTATTTTTGTGTAAGATGTAACAATCCTCAGAAAATTGAGTTTCCACCGCTTGAGTTGATCTGAGAGAGCTTGTTGTTTTTTTCCTTAGAAAGGTGAATTAAAGCCAGTGAGGCTCTAGCTGATTTCCGTTTTCGAATGAGTCTAAGACACAGTGAAGCTGAAGTATCAGCATGGGCATCAGCCCAATTAAAATGCACTTTAAAGAAATTTCTTTGAAAAATAAAAATTCAATTCTGTCCAGATAAAAACACTGGTAGAATGGCTGGGCACACACCTATAGTTTTTAAAAGAAAGATTTTCCTTGTGAGAAAGAGATATGGAAAATGAGAGCTGTAATAAGAAAAGAAGAAAAACACGTAAAAATAATAAGTTTCACTAAAGAAAATGAGCAATGACAATCATTGCAAAACTAAAGTAAACCTAAGCCAGTCCCCATAATAAACCTCCAAATTCTAGACATTGATGAGTATTCTATTTAGGAGCAAAGAAAAAATTACTGGGAAATGATTCTTTTATTTAAGAGACTGGTGGTTATTTGCTACTTGTGCATGATT